GCATCTGCCTGAGTCATCTGGCACAATAGTACAGATAGAAGGTCCCCAGTTCAGTGCACAGCTGGAAGGCATCATGCTCGGGTTGTGGAAAAACAAGCTTTGGAAGGGTGATAACATTAAAAAATCATGTGGATAAACAAACCCAAAACACATGTTGCCTCTCATTTGCTCCAGAGAATGTGACTCTTTGTTTCCCAAGTCTATTTCTTCCACGTGGGAACACTCAAGTCCACAACATGTACTAATGGAGACAGCATTTCATCCCAATGACATATACTGAGCTACCCACTTGGCAAGGTACCAGGATATTATGCAAAATTAACTCTCCTAGGATTCCACTTTACTTCTCTTACTCTCTTTCCTCCATCCTCAGTTAAAGCCTATCATCTATTCTTAGATTGTTGCAGGAATTCCCTAACTGGTCTCTTTTTCTTTGGTCTACATTTCTCTCACCTCATTTTCTTTGTTGTTTCCAGAAGTGTCTTTTTATCCTAAATAAGACCATGTTATTTCTTTATTTAAATTTTTTAATGGTTCCTTATTGCCTAAAAAATAAAGTTTAACCTCCTTTTTTTTTTTTTTTTTTTTTTTTGGGTCAGGCATGGTGGCTCACGCCTGTAATCCCAGCACTTTGTGAGGCCAAGGTGGGAGGATCAGTTGAGTTCAGGAGTTTAAGATCAGCCTGGCCAACATGGTGAAACCCTGTCTCTACTAAAAATACAAAATTAGCCAGGAGTGGTGGTGAGGGCCTGAAATCCAGCTACTTGGAAGGGTGACGCAGGAGAATAGCTTGCACTTGGGAGGCAGAGGTTGCAGTGAGCCAAGATCATACCACTGCACTCCAGCCTGGGTGACAGAGTGAGACCCCATCTCAAAACAAACAAACAAACAAACCCAAAACCCCCCAAACTCTTTTTTTTATATCCATTTTTTTAAATCTTAGATATTATCTGGTGTCTTGTTTCCTTTGATTCTTGGTTTCAGTGGCTCAAATATTATGCAAATTATTGTTTGCCTATTCTTTTGGGTCCATGTTCCTGTTGCTCCCTCTGCCTACCATGTCTTTCCCATTCTCAGAATATGCCAGCTATCTGCCTTGACACATCCTGGTCTTTCAACACTTAGGTTCAGGATATACTCTTTTGAGGACATTTTCCTGACACTCTTCACTCAGTTCCCTCTTGTGTGTCTCCACCATTCTCTGCCCTGACTTCTCTTCTGATACTTATCATGGTTTATAGTATCTAATTTCTTATATGTCTGTCTCTCCTTAATTCAGTATAATTTTACTATTAAGCTTCAAGTTCATCCTGTCTGCTCAATGTTTTTATTCATCCTAATGTTGTTAAAGCCTTACCTAGTCTGGGACACATGTTAGGTGCTTATTAATGCTTTTTACATTAATAAATAAATCTAGTTTATAAATGCATATCATGACATATGTATTGGCTTTTGAGTCTGAGTGAGAAGAATCTTGATGAACACAGGTTAAGAAACTATCTTGCTCATATCTTTTTTTTTTTTTTTTTTTGAGGCAGAGTTTCACTCTTGTCACTCAGGCTGGAGTGCAATGGCATGATCTCTGTTCACTGCAACCTCTGCCTCCTGGATTCAAGTAATTCTCCTGCCTCAGCCTCCTGAGTACCTGAGGTTACCAGCACATGATACCAACCATGCCCGGCTAACTTTTATATTTTTAGTAGAGATGGGTTTTTACCATGTTGGCCAGGCTGGTCTCAAACTCCTGACTTCAGGTGATCCTCCCACCTCTGCCTCCCAAAGTGCTGGAATTACAGGCATGAACCACTGTGCCCAGTCTATGTTGCACATATCTTTGAGTTGGTTTCAGGGACTCTAGGTAGAGATTCTTGTTCTGATTCAGGCCATGAAAAAATTCTGTGACTTTGAGAAAGCTGCTTTACCTCCTTGTGCCTCAGATCCTCAGTGGTGAAATTCTGCAGCAGTCTATGATAATGCAGTGTGGGATAATGCTAAGAGCTTTGGAATAGGGCCCACCGGGGCTGGAATTCTGTCTCTTCTTACTTTGTTACCTGAGGAAAGTCCTTTATTTTTCTTTAGTTTACTCCTCTGGAAACTGCGAAGCATTATACTTTGTTAGGTAGCATAAGGAGTAAATGTGGTCATGTTTGCAAGGCACCTGTCAGACATTCAGTTAACTTGGTTCCCTTCCCTTTCTCCTAAAACTGAATCTTTCCTGCCTATCACGAAAGGTTATTTATAAGGACATTTGCAAAATGTCAAATGCTATTCTGTGAAAGAACAGCTTCTCTTTGAATCGGCTTGCTTATTTTTGTTTCAGTGAACATGTGTGAACTGACCAAGTGGAACCGAGGCTTCACTACTGGGTGAATGGGTTTGGGAATAGGCTGTCTTTGAATCAAAGAGAAATGACACCTAGTGAACCATGGTCAAAGCCTGAATATGGAGCTGACTTTGAAACCTTCACAGTTGTTAAGGGACTTTGAGGTTAAAGTCGTGTTTTGGTAAGGAAGCGCCTGTTTTGTAGAAAGAGCTTCATGATCCTCATGGACAAACCATAAACTGAAACAAAACCCGCTCCTTTCTTTTTCTCTTCTATTTTATTTTTACTGTATTTTGTTTTTGGAGACAGTTGTATTCTGCTGCTCAGGCTGGAGTGCAGTGGCATGATCTCTGCTTACTGCAACCTCTGCCTCCTGGGTTCAAGCGATTCTTGTGCCTCAGCCTCCTGAGTAGCTGGGACTACAGGGGTGTGCCACTACGGCTAATTTTTTTTTTTTTTTAAATAGAGATGGGGTTTCACTATGTTGGCCAGGCTGGTGTTGAACTCTCAGCTGAGTTCAGGCAATCCACGCATCTCAGCCTCCCAAAGTGCTAGGATCACAGGCATGAGCCACCACCTGGTCTTTTTTTTTTTTTTAATCAAATACAAACTGCCTTCTCTTTTATCATGCTGACCCACTGCAGTGGTTCCTTTTTATGAAGACATCACTCATTTCTCAATATTTAACATCCATTTTTGTGGTTTCCTGTTGCTAATGTTTTCAACTATTTTTGCCATATCTTGTACACTTGACACATTTTTCATGCTCATCGTATTCATGTATAATCCATAATATCTCATACTCTGACAGTTTAATATTCTTACCTAAATCCTTCAGTGTCCAACCGTCAATTTACAACATCTGAGACTGGGTAACTGGGCCTCAGCCTATATAACGGTGGGAAAATATGGTGCTTGAAGGTAAAGTCCTTCTGAAGATAAATTATACCAGATTTCAATGTCTTCTCTTCAGCCTTCATGTTGGAAAGGCAGACTAAGAGAGTTACATAATTGTTGGCTCTTCTGCCTGCCTCAAAATGTCCTTGCTGCATGCACTAATCTCTCAGGCTCAGGCCTAATATGAGAATTAGCAAAGGAAATTTTATTGGATATGAGTGTTGAAATAGAATGGGCATTCTTCTGGTAGTGTCAGAATTCCAGTGGGAGTTATTAAACAGTTTCCAAGTTATTACTGCAACCAAGTTCACACATTTGTGCATACACTGCCACCCCCCTCCCCCAAATAAAGGTGCCCATATTTCTCTGCTTTCCAAATTCTTTCAAAGCCCCAGAAGACATGGTCATGAATCTGCCTATTCTGTGGTTCTCTGAGTTTTGGGAAAATATTGGTATCTGGAAACATCTAATGTCATATAATCATTCATACTCACTGAAAGCCTGACATGCCCAAAGAGACAACCATTCTTTCTCAGGGTAGCAACAAAGCTTATATATTACAATAATGCATGGCTCTGCAAAAGGCCTCAGTACATAGAAATATATACAGTATGTGGAGAACGATCCAAGATGGCTAATCGCTAACATCTAGGGATTGCAGCTCCCAGTGAAAGTGCAGAGAATGAGAGGACGCCACACTTTCACACAAATTTTTGTTGCTCACGGACCAGAAGATTCCCAGTGGAGGAGCCCCACGGGTCACCAGTGCGACTCTTGTGGCCCGCGCAGTGGTTTTTCCGGCACCTCGGCGAGGCAGCTCTTGGTGCAGAGTAAACGGGACTGGTTCCCCTTCTGACCCGCATTTGGAGGTCCAGGAAGGCAGAGTCGCCTATTACAGACTCAAGAAGGGAGGCAGACTGGAGATTCCCAGGCAGAAAAGCACCATCAGTCTTAACGCCACTGTTTTGGCCAACGCAGTGGGTTGCTCAGCTTTCAGCCCTGGGAATTAACAACTTGGACATCCACTCAGAGACCTAATTTGAAAGTTGGTAATTACAAAGACGACAGGTGGATAAATTTACAATGATGGAAAGAAACCAGCGTAAAAAGGTTGAGAATACTCAAAATCAGAATGCCTCTCCCTCTAAAGGGCTGAAGGGTGGATTTGAAGTGAGTATAGAGGGAGAAGGAGCATTCATTGTCTCTTTACATATCTACTCTCTTGGAATCCTTCCCCTGAGAGACAGGTGGATTCTAACACAGACTCAGTGGCTATTCCTAAATAACCCTGAATACAATGTATTTCTTTTCTCTCCTGGAACAAAAAATGGGCCATGAAAGCATAAAATGTATTTATCAGATAGGTTTTGTTTTCTAGAACTACCATGACTTGTCTTGAATTGTCTACCCCTACATAAACAAAAACTATGATTTTATTCCAGTCGTAAAAGCCCCGAGGGTGAAATGTAAAGAGGGTATAAAGAAAAAAAGGAAGTTCAGGTTAACATAAAAAAATGGTCTCTGTGCTTATATGTCCCCAAACTATACAAGTATCTTTTAAATTTCAGTAGGTAAATCAGTAGACCAGACTTGAGAACAGGAAATACTTGGTCCATGTGTAAATTTGTCCATGTATATATTTGACTTACAATTTAAAATATTTCTTCCCTTTTCCCTAATTGGTGGAATATATTTAAGATTCTATACTTAAAATATAAAACCAAATGATTTTAATAATTGACTGAATATAGCATATATGAAATAAATGTAGATAGTCTATGTATATGCACATTTAGGAGTAAAGGGATAGGTAATAGGGAATGCTGATTGAATGCCTGATTAATGCCAGGAGCAGTAATAGGGAATGCTGATTGAATGCCTGATTAATGCCAGGAGCAGTGCTAATCTTCACAGCTATCATCCTCACAGCACTGATCACATTTTATTGTTTTGACAAACTTGTGAGCAAGTAATGTTACTTTCATATTACGGGTCCTAAAAGTAAGTGTTGGTATGAGTCACAGATAACACCAAAAAGCATTTAGAGCATTGATTTCAACCTTATATCTCCTTCTTCTTCCCAGTCCACAAGCTGATAACTCACATTGTTTAATCCCATTTCTCCTTTTAGTTTGTTTACTCCCTCCAGTAGAATCGAGTGGTTATCAGGACATACAATGAAGTGGGACAGAAGAGCTAGCTACCTGTTACTCTTAGGCTAGCATTTTGAGAAAACCACATCAGATGGACTTTCACTCTCCATCTGACTGCTCACCCCCATTTCCTGTTCTCAGAAAGCCCAATCCTCCTCTGCAGCCTCTGCATGGCTGACTTCATCTCTTGATTTCTCAGGGTGTAGATGATGGGGTTCAGCATGGGGGTAATGACCGTGTTATTAATGGATATGGTTGTGTCCATGGGCAGCGTCATGAAGGGCCGGCAGTAGATGTAAACGCAAGGCACGAAGTGAAGAGTCACCACCAGGATGTGAGAAGTGCATGTGGAGAGGGCCTTGTTCCGCCCCTCCCCAGAGTGGGACCTCAGCATCACTAGAATGATGGTGTAGGAGCCCAGGAGCAAGAGGAACCAGAGCAGGGTCACCAGTCCATTGTTAGAGATCATGAGAAGCTCCAGAGCAAAGGTGTCAGTGCAGGCCAGTTTTACCACCTGGGGCACATCACAGTAGAAGGCATCCAACGTGTTGGGGCCACAGAAGGGGAGTGGGAGCATCAGAATTACCTGGACAATTGAATGTAAACCACCACCCACCCAAGAAGCCACCACCAAGGCCAACCACACCTCTCTCCTCATAATGGTCACATAGTGCAGGGGCTTGGCGATTGCAAGGTATCTGTCATAGGCCATCACAGAGAGGAAAAAAATATCTGCCCCACCAGCAAAGTGGAAGAAAAAGATCTGTGCCATGCAGCCATTGTAGGAGATGGTTTTCCTCTCTGATAAAAGATCCACCAGGAACTTAGGGACGGTGATGGATGAAAAGACGATGTCCAGGACTGATTTGTTCCGCAGGAGAAAGTACATGGGCATGTGCAGGTGGGACTCACAGGTGATAGTGACCACAACAAGTGCATTTCCCAGGACAGTTGCTGCATACACAGCAAAGAAGACCACAAATAAGAAAAACTCCAGCTCCCGGGAACGAGTAAGTTCCAGGAAGAAAAACTCCTTCACATTAGTGTGGTTGATCTGGTTCATGATGGGGATGACTCTCCTCCAGGTCCTACCTTGGGCCGAGATATGTTAGAGGTTGGATTATGGTGACACGAGGTAGCAAAATCATTGACCACATACTACTTTCAAGCATCGAGGTCATCATGACTACCCAGAAAAACTGGACCAGTCTTCCCTTTGTGGTCTGGAAATGCTTCATCCATATGGTTCTTCTTTCTTACTGTAAATACCCTGGGTCGACAGAAAAAAAAGCCATCACCTGTCTATATACTCACTCTGACTAGAGAGAGATGGATGGACTGTGGCTTTACCAAGAGGTGGATGCTTTACCAAGGGCTTTCACCTGCAATAGCTCATCTTGATTTTGATTCTCATGAAGTTTCTGAAGAGTCTTTAGAACGGTTATCTCCATTTTATTTATGGGGAAACTAAAGCTTTAGAGTAGTTAATGACTTATTCGCATCTGCATAGTCACAAAATTCGTGAGTTGTAAATCGAGGATTCAAATCCAAATCATTTTTCTGACTTGAGAGAGATTCCCTCCTTGAACAAATTTTGGTGAGGCTCCTCTGAGCCCTTTTCTTGACTATGACCCAACCTTGACCTTCCACGTCCGTCTTTGCTGAGCCCAGTTTTAGTAGGAATCTTGCCAAGTCAGTTTAATGAGAATTTCCCACCGTTGATACCTAATCAAATTCCTTACGCTTTTATATATTTATTATTTTTAACCTCATCCCTCACCCTCAATATCTAAGTCCTGTGTCTAAATCCTTGGCCAGTCTTTAGCAAGAATTCTTTTATGCCAGTTTAGGAAGAATCACCCTACCTTTGATATCACTTCTTAGTAATTTTCAATCCACTGACCTCCCTCACTCTGCTCATTGCTTATAAATCTTCACTTGTTTCTGCTATATTTTCAGTTGAGCTCAATCAACTCAGCTTTTTCTTCTATTGCAAGAGTTTTAAATTAAATCTATCTTCCTGTCTTTAATAATTGTCTGGTGAATAATTTTTCTTTAATATAACAGGCTCCAGAGGTTTTTCCACTGTTCCACTCTGAGAAATCAGAGTCTACTTTGGCAAACTAGAATTTTAGTGTTTATATAAGGCTTACACAGTTTATTGAGTAGCCTGACTACCTAATCCTCATCTCATGCCTTATAAAAAGATAAGAGTCAGGCCCTTTTAAGTACTCCTCTTTGGCACTCTGGGACTCCTGGACCTTGCTATTGACACACAGGGCTCTTGGTAAAGTATAGAGCTACAATCGTTGGTCAGGGCGTATTTTAGTATCACAGAAAAACTGATCATTAGAGCTTCACAGGATTTTAGAGATAAATTAGTCTAATTCTTCTTACTTTAGGGGTGACTGGAGAAGGACATTTATTTTTTGAGAATCATAGTTTGAATTGGTGAAAGAAATAAAACTTTTTTTTTTTTTTTTGAAATGGAGTCTCATTCTGTAGCCCAAGCTAGGGTGCAATGGCGAGATCTCAGCTCACTGCAAGTTCCACTTCCAGGTTCAAGTGATTCTCCTGCCTCAGCCTCTTGAGTAGCTGGGATTACAGGTGCCCGCCACTATACCTGGCTAATTTTTGTATTTTTAGGAGAGACGGGATTTCACTATGTTAGTCATGATGGTCTTGAATTCTTGACCTCAGGTGATTCGCCTGCTTTGGCCTCCCAAAGTGCCGGGATTAGAGACGTGAGCCATCACACCCGGCCATGATAGAGAACTTTAATCACATTTATTGACTCAAATTCCAGAGATAATCTACTATTGCTATATGACAGCAATTTACTATATTAATATTGATTTTTCCCAAATCAGAAATTCAGTCATGGGAGGACAAACATCTTTCAGTAAGAATATCTGTATGATCCAGGTGCAGTGGCTAATATCTGTAATCTCAGCACTTTGGGAGGTCGAGGCAGGCAGATTGCTTGAGCTGAGGAGTTTGAGACCGGACAGGGCAACATAGGAAGACCCCATCTCAATAACAACAACAAATTAAAAAAAAAATAGCCAGGCACGGTGCTGTGCACCTGCAGTCCCACATACTCAGAAGGCTGAAGTGGGAGGATCGCTTGAGCCCAGGAATTCAAGGCCACGGTGAGCTATGATTGTGCCATTGTACTCCAGCTTGGATGACAGAACAAGTCCCATCTCTACAAAACAACAACAACCCCACATCCAAACCATTTGGTACAGCAGTCATGTGAAACAAAAGAATATCTGTATGTCTCAAAGACTCACATTCTATATAATGTAAAAAATTTTAAATAATTGAGATGACCAAAATCTAATTCAACAATAAAAGTAAGCGATTGGCATTTGAAAAAACATAACTATGTCTGAAAGAGATAGGATAAGAAGGAAGAGAGTATACCAGATGAAAAAAGGATAGAGCACTTTCCCTGAAATAAAAGCAAAAGAAAGTGTTCCATAAACAACATCGTTCTTAATTTTTCTTATTTCTGTTCTCTTACAGTTGAGTTTATTTTATAGTTTAGTTTGAGGGGTTAGAATGTATAGAAGTCCTCTTAAACAAAAATCTTGTGATCTTCTTAGATCTTTGATGTTTCCATCATTAGAATAATTTCATTCCTGTGGAAGTAAGTTGCCTCTTTTATTTTTAATTAAAAAACTTTTAATAGTCTTTTAAAAATTGCACCTATATAAGGTATACATCTTAATTTAATCTTAATTTAATATGCCAGCATCCAATAACACACTGGCATGATGTATTTGGAATTATGTTATTGCCTTTTATCAGAGTGTCTACAAGGAAGAGCATCCACCTTTGGAGTGTACTCAGGGCAGGATCTACTCAGTTCTCCAAAGAAGACATTTATCCTAAGCACAAGGCAGAGCTCCCCTGGGACATCAGTGAGAGTTCTTTTCTTAGGCAATAAGAACTGTGTAACTGACTATGCATGTGTGTGTGTGTATGTGTGTATGTGTGTGTGTGTTTTAAACAGTGTCTTGCTCTGTTGCCCAAGCTGAAGTGCAGTGGTGCGATCTTAGCTCACTGCAACCTCTGCCTCCCAGGTACAAGTGGTTCTGCTTCATCCATCCTCCCGAGCAGCTCAGACTGTAGGTGTGCGCCACCAATGCCCGGCTAATTTTTGTATTTTTAGTAGAGACGAGGTTTCGCAATGTTGGCCAGGCTGGTCTGGAACTCCTGACCTCAGGTGATCCATCCACCTCAGCCTCCCACAGTGCTGGGATTACAGGTGTGAGCCACTGCGCTGGGCCCTGACTATGTATCTTTGCTTTGGCTTTCATACATTCAAAAACATATGTGTGACTTCATTTCCTACGCCATATTTTTTCACATGTAGCCTCTTAACAGTTCCTTACTTATATTTTATTGTTTTATTGCATGTCGTTTTTTGTTGTTGCTGCAAGATATTCCTGATCCTTTGTGGACTGTGATGGAAAATACATTGGTTACTAAGGTAGAGACAGGTTTTCATAGGTATGTGGGAATCAGGCAGGTGAAGAATACACATCAGTCATGAAGGCTAAATTGGAACGAGACACTAGCCAGGAGAGCACAGCAGTCTGGGATTCAGGACTTGAGATAGACAGTATTGAAACCAGGGTGAGTGGGTGGCCTTGTGAGTAAGGCTTGTAGAATGCACAGGAAGTGAGGGGTCACAAAAGTCATACCTTGATCTCTTCAGTTGCCTAGTCAGTCCCTGATTAGTATTTTTGAATAATCCTGCACTCAACACTTTGTAAGTGCATTTTCATATGCATCTATACTTTATTTTTAAGATATGTTCCCTAAAATGAACTTACTAGGTCAAATGGCATGTTAGTTTTCTAATGTTAACTGATGATAAAGGTATTGTAAAGAGCTGCTGCACAGCAAAAGAAATGATCAACAGAGGAAACGGACAACCTACAGAATGGGAGAAAATTTTTGCAAACTATCGAGCATCTATAAGGAACTTAAAAAAATTTTCAAGAAAAAACCCAAAAAACTCCATAAAAAAGTGGGCAAAAACATGAACAGACATTTTACAAAAGAGGACATACATGCAGCCAACAATCATATGAAAAAAAGCTGAACATCACTGATCATTACAGAAATGCAAATCAAAACCACAATGAGATACCATCTAATACTAGTCAGAATGGTTACTATTAAAAAGTCAAAAAATAACAGAGGCTGGGAAAGTTGTGGAGAAAAAGGTATACTTATGTACTATTAGTGGGAATGTAAATTAGTTCAGCTATTGTGGAAGACAGTGTGGTGATTCCTCAAAGATCTAAAGACAGAAATACCAGTCCATCCAGCAATCCTATTACTAGGTATACACCCAAAGAAATAGAAATCATTGTATTATAAAGACATGCACATGTATGTTCATTGCAGCACCATTCACAATAGCAACGACATGGAATCAACCTAAATGCCCATCAATGATAGATTGGGTAAAGAAAACGTGGCACACATACACTATGGAATAATATGCAGCTATAAAAAAGAATGAGAACATGTCCTTTGCAGAGACATGGGTAGGGCTGGAGGTCATTATCCTTAGCAAACTAACGCAGGAACAGAAAACCCAATACCACATGTTTTCACTTATAAGTGGGAGCTAAATGATGAGAACACATGGACACATAGAGGGGAACGACACATGTTGGGGCCTTTTGGAGAGTGGAGAGTGGGAAGAAGGAGAGGATCAGGAAAAATAACTAATGGATACTAGACTTAATACCTTGGTGATGAAATAATCTGTACAACAACCCCTGTGACGCAAGTTTACCTATGTAACAAACGTACACTTACACCCCTGAACGGAAAACAAAAGCTAAAAAAAGAAAGAAAAGAAAAGAAACAGGCTGGGTGTGGTGGCTCACACCTTTAATCCCAGCATTTTGGTAGGTGGAGGTGGGTGAATCACTTGAGGCCAGGAGTTCGAGACCAGCCTGGGCAACATGGAGAAACCCTGTCTCTACAAAACATATTATCTGGGTATGGTGGTGGTGTCCCAGCTACACAGGAGGCTGGACTGGATGGATCAATTCTGCCCAGGACTTCGAAGCTCTACAGTG